TGCTCTGATAGTGTTTATGAAGAACCAACAACACACCACACAAGACATCTGAGTGCTGTACATGAGACGCATGTAGAGCACTGCAGCTTTACTGTGTGTTGTGTTGAACAAATTAATCACAAGCACCTACTCCTGGTAGGAGATGCCAACACTTATTCCAGTTCTAGCCCAATATTCTGTTCAAGTATCTAAGAATCACAGTAGCTATTATAGTTGTCATTAGAAGGACGGTCACAAAATCCTACATTATTGATGACAGTGCTGCATACAAACAACACACTATTATAATGTTATGACGCTGAGTGAAAAAGACAATCGTGTCATTGATTAATCTAAAAAACAGCAGTGATTTTCCATTTTTATACCTTTCATTCGACTCCTAAATTACATTATATTTGCTATAGAAAGAAGGGCTAATACACTTATCCCAACTTAATTGGCCCCAAAGGTATATTTCCGTTTTGAAACGACAAGATTAGTCAGGTCTTTATTGTGAACATAATTTGACCTTAATTATACCAATTATTAAACTCTAAAACAACTGAATATATTTGTTTTTAAATATATTTTAAGTTTCCAAATTTGTAGTCCTTTCTTTTTATACATTTTTGCTCATCTGAAAAAAAGTTGATGACAATTTAGATATCATCTTAGCCACGAAAAAAGCATCTATTGGTAGAGTTAAAACCAAGATTTATGCACCAGAAAAGATAGAGAACTTTAGACATAACATGTGAACTACATTATTATGATCTAAACTTTTATATACTAACTGGTGCTGAAGACACCGAACTGGCTCTGGACTCTCGTGTTTTCCTTGTGGGTATGGTGACGACACAGCATGAAATGCCAACCGTAGATTCCGGCAATTCATCATCCTCAGTCCAATCATTGAGGTCAGGGTTGTACAACTGAATGCATTTCTTGTACTTCTTCTCGCCCTCGTTCCAGCCTCCGAGGAGATACACCTTGCTGTTCAAAACACAAATACCAGCCGTGCTCACTCCTGTGTGGAGAGGTGCGCAGTAGCTCCACTGCCCGCCGTGAGGGTTGTAAGACTCAACGGCGAGGACATCCACCCTCTCCCCACGACCTCCCAACTGACTACCACCAATGACGTAGGCCCGGTCTCCCACGGTGGCAGCGCAATGCCAGCCTCGAGGCGTGCTCAGACTGCTCTTATCCTGCCAGCTGTCGGTGGAGGGGTCGTACGAGCACACAGCTCTGGAGTAAGCGTTGTTGATGTAACCACCGGAAACAAGGATCTTGCCCTCGATGAGGGAGCTGCCGTGACAGCAGCGGGGCACCTCCATGGGAGCTTTCATCTGCCACTGGTTGGAGGAGGGCACGTAGCACTCCACCGAGGCCTGAACGCCATCACCATTTCGCCCTCCAATGGCAAACAGAAGGCCATTGAAGATGTTGAGGCTAAAGTGTGTGCGCTTCTGGATCATGTTGCTCAAGTGAATCCAAGTGTTGAAGCGGGGGTCATATCTATAGATAGTGAGAGGGATTTACAGTTCATTTCTCATTCTACACAAACTGACATGACAACATTTTAAAAAGTCAACTGTAACTGTTAGCTCTTACCTGCAGAAGTTGCCAACAGCATGTTTAGCTTGGTTCCTTGCATCATTCTGGTCCTCGCCACCTGCTACATACAGGAAGCCGTCCAAGACTGCCACGCATTGATTGAAGCTCTTTGCTGGCATTTCTGTCAACTTATTCCACACGTTATCTTCATCTCTGTAGAGAACTTCTTTGCTGAGGGATTTCTCTGTCAAGGCAGGGCGTCCACCAACTGTGAATATCACCTTGAGGCCACCGCGCACCTTTGTTCTGCGGGACTGGAGGATGTTCTGTTGGTATGGCAGCAGATGGTAATTCATGGCATCAACAAGGAGACGGTGGCACTCGGGGTCTTGCATCATTCTGGGTGCACTCTGGACATGATTCACCAGGTCTTGGGCAGAGATGGTGCCGAAGCGGATGAGAGTAAGGAGATCCGCAGCATACTTCAACCTCTTCTCATCAAAGTCCAACCACTTCATGGCGATCTGGAAGGCTGTGATCTCAGAGGGAAGATGCAGGGAATCGTCTGATAGGAAATCACTGATTTGCTCGTAGGTGAGCTTCAGGAACTGCTCCATCTCAGAGAACTCAATGAAGTTATCCCGCATGAACTTTTGAGATGCTTCCTTTGTTTCTTTGAGGTCGTAGGCATCAGCAATGTTGCCCACATACATGCAGTTCTCCACGCTGAGCTCCTGCATGAGGAAATCACTGCACATCTTCACTAAGGTGCGGATCTGCAGCATTATGGCGGCGGCGATGGTGCTGCCAATGCTGTACAGCGACAGGGTCAGCTTTCCAGAGTATGCATATGTAATCGCTGTGGCGAGGCCGGCAGGTGAGAGGTCGTTTAGGTCGATCGTCTGGAGGGTTGAATCCTTCTTCAAGATGTTTCGAATGTACTCGCTGCAGGACGCCATGACTACCTTGTGAACATCAAATGACTTTGACTTGGTGGAGATGGTTAGATCGCAGAGGAAGCTGTCCTGCCTCATGCTGCTCAAACCCTCCAGCAGGTTTGGGGCATACACAGAATCAGTAACTTCGGTTGAAATGCAGTTGAAGCCATTTCCTCCTTCCAACAGAGTGTGCAGCCCATTGATCTTGTTGACAGGGCTGTCCTCGACCATTATGGTAATTTCATTTATGTCTCCTTTATTCTTTTTGGTCGATTTGTTCTTTTTGGGTGCCATGGCAGCAGCGGAATATGGCCCAGAGCTTCTGAAAATATAAATAAAACTTGTCAGAAAAGGGACAAATTATGCAGATAAATCATAAATACATTATTTGGTACAAGTGAAACTTGATGGGATTTAAGGGTTCACAAGACTACTACTGTATATTCATATATTGTTATAAATGATTTTATGCTGTCTTGCGGACCTGTTGTCCTTTCTTGTATCTAAGTATTGATTGCCTTTATTTATTCAGACACTACCAGGATTTGACACCTTTGAAAGCACACATGCTGCCAGGTGATGCTGGAGAGAGAAAGAGAGTGCGTAAACAGCCCCCTCTTTGCATCTGTCACAGTTTATCAGCTGTAGGTCCAGGAATAGCAACTCTGGACAGCTCACCCATGACGTTCCTTTTATAGACTTTGAGATCTGAGCAGCCGGCCTCATGTCCTCTGACTCTTAAAGTTCAAATTAGGGCAAACACTCTCCTTTCTTTACTTAATTGTATTTAACATTCGATTAGGCTTGTCCTGAATAAGTAATGTACACAATCTACAAGACAAAAAAGTTTCATAGAAAAAAACAATCCTCACATGATTTACTCTTAACCCTAGACAATCGGAGACATACTGTCACCATGCTATGTGTAAAACAAAAATCTCTACAACTTTTTACAATATGTCAGTCCTTTGAATCCTACCTAAGTGAGGAAAGAGGTCAGTTTCTGTTCTTAAATTACTAACAAACACTGAAGCATTATCTGCAACAAATTGGTTTATCCTTTTGAAAATAGTGATAGATTTAGCATTTAGAAGCTGCACTTACCTGCAAAATGAAGTTGAGGCTGGGGAAGAAGGAACTTGTGCCTCCAGTTACTGGAGCAAGAGAGAGAGAGCAGCAGTCAGCCCAGCTGAAAGAGACTTATGGTTAACTCCTCCTCTAGGAGAGTGAATGCCAATCAAGTATTGTGATATGCTTGTGGCAGGAGGGGGACCACAAAACCCCGATCCAACATAGGGTCTCACAATAGCTTCCAATCTGTTGATGTCAACAAACTGTGAGGGCTAACCTGCTACGTCACATGAAAAGTTTCATTCGGCCATTGTTTAGAAAAAGGTCATCAGCTTTCTTAGCAAAGCATCTTGTCATAGTATCAAGGAAGAAACACTTCCTCTATATTTTTAGAATACTCTATAATGACCTTGATTTATTGATGGGCCTGGTCTTGAATGCAATACATCAGAAAGTTGAAATATACATGGGTACAGGACTTTAGCACCACCTCATTACAAGCACATGAAGTAAAGTATTTGCCCAAATGGAGTGTCATTAAGCTCAGAGGAAATAAAAACGTCTCAAGGAACAGAAAAAAGGTAGGACTACATTTCACAGTTTGACAAGACATAGGAGTACACTGCCCAAACAAATATGTCCAGCTCATATTGTATGGTTTCTTCGTTGATTGATGAAAACTAAAAGATGTACACATTTAGACATTCGTTTTCTCAAAATACACCATAAACCAAGTGAGATAAAGAAACGATCATACAATCGTTTCTTCATCGTTTCTTCAACATGACTCAATTATAAAATGAGTCATACAAATATTTTGTTAAATTCTTGCATAAAGGAGAAGGATTTTTTAAATTTCTGGTTTGAAGAATGAGAAATATTTGTTTTATTTACCAATGTATTGGGCCTAAAGTTCCTAGAGGGCCCTGCAGGCTTGTTGGAAAGTTAATTTCCTACTTTACATAATTAAAGGTGGGGTAGGTAAGTTTGAGAAACCGGCTCGAGATACACTTTTTGTTATATTCCATGGAATGCTCTTAACATCCCGATAGCAATGAATATCTTAAATGCTTTGACAAAAAATCTATAAAAAAAATTCATCTGTGGAAGTCGTAGTACTGTAAAAAGCACGACCAATCATTTTAGCCAGCCCGGCTAAAGTAACTGGATGGCCTACCTGCCTGTCAGCTTTCTCTGTGCTCAAACTTATCTCGTGCCCTCATTGGTCATGTCCGCGTTCGTGTGTGTTGGAGGAGGGGCTCTGTAAGGAAGTGGCAGATTTTTTCCGGCTGTGTATTTTCTAATTCTAGCGCACTCGAGCTGGTTTCTCCACAATTACCTTCCCCACCTTTAAGTTATCTATAGACACACTAAGTGAATGTATTGTGTCATATATTTCACGTACAATCCTTAATTGTTTGATATTTTCTTAACCATGTGTTCCACTCCCACATCGATTAAATTATCGGCTCCGCCCATTATAATAATGTCATCAGTGGGCGCGCGCTGCCCGGTGTGAGTGGACGGATGCTCGTGAATCACCGTGATGGCAAGCAGCTCTGATGTGGTGAAGAAAGTAGCGCGGTACAAACTTCAACTGACCGACACTGCAGAGTCTGCTACGGTAGATAATGTTCATTTATGTATTGCCTACAACAAGCAGAGCTGATTGGAAAAGTTTCTGGGTTTAGGGGTGAAAATGTTTGCAATAGGCCAACTACCGTTTAGTGAGTGCATATGACACGTCAAACAATTGGTGCAGAAACACTAATGGCGGTTCGGAAGTTTTTTTATTACAAACTGATAATGTGTAAAACACTGATTGAGAGCTGTCCCTGCCAATGACACGTGCCTCCTGCCACACAGGATTGTAGGCCCTTCACTGTGGGAGTCAGGCTGTTTTCAATGGGAGTTGCCCTCCTGCTATATTTGGCAACTCCTCCAGTTGTTCAACTTGTGGCTGCTGTCCATCATCAGTGGAGGTTGGGTGCTCTGCTGTTTAACTCACTTTTATGCCTAGATGGACTTAAAAAATGGCCAATATTTGAAATAGATTTAACCTCAAATAAATACAAAACGAATTAACGTGTAGGAGCACAACCTGAATATAATTTTGTTACACACTTTATAACTGGCAGCAGCTTTATCCATTTATAGTTCACAGTAAAAGGAGCCACCTAAGAGGGTGTTTGAGTTTCCCATACATAGCAACTGCTCTAAATGCACACTCAGCAACTGGTGATCCAAAGCCAAGAATACCATATTTGGCATGACAGGTTTTCCTTGATTCTAGTAGTAAAACAATCATGAAAACCATTTCAAGCTATAATTAATGTTTTTATTTGTCTCTTTCCAGGTTGTAAAGATTTTGCAGAAACTCAAGGATCTGGATATTACATTTGACATTCTTGCTGTAAGTCTCTGTTAATTGACTTTGTGTTAATATATGAATATTTGCTTTATTTTCTTTGACTGCTCTGTGTCTGCATATAAATTAGGAAACTGGAATTGGAAAAGCAGTTAACTCTTTCCGGAGACATAAGCAGGGTGGAGAATTGGCCAAGTCGCTAGTTAGGGGTTGGAAAGACTTGGTCCCCAAGGAATCTACAAGGTGACACATATTTAACATATCCTTAATTCAACAGTTTACTGTAATTTCATTCGTTGACATCTTAATCTTGATTTGTTTTTTTTCTTGATGCAGCCACACAGAAAATGGGATTTGCGAGAGTTTGCCTGGTAAAGACCAAAAGTGTCAAAATAATGGAAGTTTGACAATAGAAGATTCAAACAATAATTGCTTACCATCTTACAGTAAGAACTCATCAGATGAGGCCCTCTTCAAAACAAGTAGTGAAAAAGCTGATACAGAGAAACAATGCAAGGTAGGGAAAAGACACAAGGACCAGGATGAAAATCAAGGAAAAAGTCAAGAAACCCAGGACATTGTTCAAAATGAGGTCTTGAAAAAGTACATTCAAACCAAAGAGGATCAGATTGACGATTATGTTGTCTCCAAAAAGAAGAAAAGTGATGAGAGCAAAAGAAAATCAGGAGACACTGTAACTCTGCCTCAAATCAAAAACTCAGAGGACACTCATCGAAAATCAAGGTCAGAAAAGAAATCAAATGAGCAACAAAAAGAATCATCCAAACAAGCCAAAGAATCTTTTTCATTTAAATCCATTGAAAAACATTCAGAAACGTTCAGAAAGCTAGCTAGTTTCAAACATGAAAGGTCTCCAGAAATATCTAGGAGCTCAGAGGGCCAAAACAAAAAAACAAAAAAAACAGGTAAAGAGACGCAGGGCTCTCTAAAACACAAATATGAACAAATGGGACATTCAAAAAACAAAAAAGCCAAAATAGAGCTCAACGATGAGAAAAAGGGCTGTGAGGAATCATCCTTGTCTTTTGAATCTTTCTTGAACTATGATGGGAACGCTTCCAAGAGAAAACAAAGATCTGGAGTGAAGAAACCTTCAAAGACAATCAAGACTGTTGTAAAAGCAACACAAGATGCTGCAATAAAACCTAACAGGTCACCTATGATGTCCATAAATGATACCTCGCCAACAAAGGTATGTTTGACAATAGTCTAAAAAATGACACTTTTAGAGTTCAGGCTGTGGTTGAGTAAAATTGACTTTGAATCATTAATGTTTCAGACGTTTAAGGAGTCTGTAATGGAACTGATTCCATTCGCCATTCCTTTACCCGATTTGCTGCCTGAATGTGAAAACCAATTCACTGTTGATTACTTTGAGAAGAAAGGTACCTTATTAATGACAAACACAGCTGTACTTTCAGATTGGTTATGTCGTTATTGACACTAATCCTTTTGTCTTAAAGATGAGAAGGAGCCTGATTTATGTGAAGTCTCTGAGGAGTCTGCAGGCTTCACCGGTCAACGCCTGAACAAAAAGATGCAGGTGTACTCCGGTGCCAAGACCGTCTTCCTCCCGGCCATGATGAGCTTGCACCAGCAGTGTATCCGCGCACTGCAGAATAACATTAACTGTGAGTTACGCAACAAATAAGCTTTTCTGCTGATCAGTGTGTCGGTTTGTTGGATTTATATTCAGCTGCAGGGATCTCTCCTCAGTGCTTTATGAAACTGGCGGAGTCCCGTTTGAGATCCTCGAGCCGGTGTTGGAGAGGTGTACACCCCAGCAGCTGCTACACATAGAAGAATGCAACCCAGTAAGAATGTGAATATGAATACATTTAGTGCAGACACACACTTGGTGGCCACTTTATTAGGTACAACTGCCTAGCTCTGCATTGGACCCACCCTTTTTTTTATGAATATGTTACTTTTCAGTTCCTTGTGAGTATTAATGTTTGGGTAAATCGTCTTCTATGCAAAGTCAGACGCAAGTCACATGAAGTGTATACGTTTTCAAGTAAAAGTCCTGCATTCAAAATGTTTCATAAATAAGTAACCATTTTAGAATAATATATATTATATTAGTGGATTAAAGTTATAGCTGCAATAAAGTGATTAAATAACTTATAGTGCTGGCTTAATTTACAATACTAGATCATAAAGTGTTTTGTATAAGAAATCTGCAATTTAAGTGATCTTGTATAGTAATTTGCCTCATAAATGGAGTGGAGTAGAAGTATAAATTAGCATAAGGACCTCCAAAATGTACTCTGGTACAGTATTTGGTAAATGGACTTGGTTACATTCTACTATTTGTGTCTAGTTTAAAGTAACCTCTCTGACCACATGCTTTATGCTGTGATGTGCCAGATTTAAAGGAGCTCTCAAGGCTGTTAATTAGAAGGTTTACCTACAGTGGCCACTGAGTGTATGTCAGTTTATTCTGAAATTACTTTCTATGTAAAACTAAACTCTATAGACCTTGGGTAGAGATTAGAAGTTCCTGTAGTAATGTATATAACTTAGATTGAGATGTCTATTGGTTGTTAGCCCTTTATCTTTTTGTTTCCACAGATCTACATCGGAGAGACGGATCACTTATGGGGGAAACATTGTCAGAGGGACTTTAAAAACTCCAGACTTCAGGAGTATGAATCCTGGAAAGAGATGTATGTCAGACTGTCTGAGGAAAGGGAAAGGAAACTAAAAAGACTGACAAAAAGCATCGTCTCGGCAAATTCTACCAAACCCAAAGGTGTGTGATGTTCAGCATTTTGTGTGGATCATGGAAAAGTTCTAATCAAAACCATACAAAACGAAACAATTATTAGTTTATACAAATGTTGTACTGTTGAAAAATAAGATGTAGGCCTATCGTAATGCACACAGTGACTCCTTTTTATTTTCTTTAGGTCGGCAGGTAAAGATGGCATTTATTCACACTGTTGCCAAGCCACCGAGAGATGTGCGAATTAAGCAGGAACTTCATGGAACTGCTTCTCAGCCTCAGCCTCAGGTCAGGTGCAGGTGGGTTTCAGCATCCTAATTATAGAGAAATATCTACACAGGTTTGATGATTAGCTTGTGGTTTTGTTTTTTAATACTTTTTTCAGGTATGTATATATTTGAGCAATGTTCCTTATTATAAAGTTCATAAACAAACAACATTTTAAATCCCATGGTAGGGTATTGTTTTTGGCAAACGCGTAGTAAGCCTTATGCTTGCTCTCCGCTTCCACATAAAAGCCCTAGACTACAAAGTGATCTCTCATCAACAGCAGCTTAGTGAGGTCATAACCTGTGGGCTGAAATGCTTTTTGGGTGAGCTTAGCTAAACAGGAATTAGAGCAATGTGCCTCGCTTCCTTTTTGTTTTCACATTATTGGAAGATATGCTCACTAGCTGTAGTGATGGAGACTCATTTGACATGCATTGATTTGGTTTTGTAGATAATAATTGTGTTCATAGAATAATGCACTGTATTGTTATTTCTTCATTTACCAGTGTCAAGGTTCCGGACAGCAGACCGAAGCCGAGTTGTAATGAGCCCAGCAGGTCCAGCAGCAGCAGTTCAGGGCCTAGCAATACACAAGACCCTCGCAAAAAGACAAGTGAGCGTACAAACAATTACTGTAGATGCAATGGTGTTACATTTGCTTCAGCTGTTCAAACTGACAATTTAATTTCATGTCTTCTTTTTTTGTCCAGTCATACTATGCAATTTATTTCATTTTTAAAGAAATCCGTTTTGGTTATTTGATTTCAGGTCATAATGAAAGTTGACTAAACATTTTACTTACATTCTTACTACAATTGTTTTCCCCTTTTCTTCACACAGGAGTTGCTCCAATGATGGCAAAGTCTTTAAGGGCATTTAGGAATCAACTGGGGCGCAGATAAATGCTCTAATATGATCTGGTATATTTACAGTGTGTGGATGTGGAGGAAAAAGCGCTCTGTCATGCATTAACTTTGAACAATAGAAGGCCTGTTATCACCTTAGATTATTATGTGTTGTTTGTCTAAATGTATAAGCATTTTCCATTATTTTTTTCTCTGTGAATTTCCTTTACTATTAAAGGCACAATGGAAATAGCAACTTTATGTGATTTGATATTTTGTCTTTTAGTCTGTTTGAGCTAAACGATGTTGCTTGAGCTAAACAAGGGTATGATTTAATGGGGTGTGTCTCCCTCTATAGGAAGTATAGAGAAGTGTGTTTTTACTTGGTACATTTCTCCCACAATCTCTTTACCACACATACAACCTCGGATTGTCTCACGATAAATGCAATTTTATACATGAATGTGTTTAAAAATGTAAAAAATTAAATTAGTTTAATATATTTTAACTCTAAATGTAACCACATTCAACAATGAACCCTTAAAAATAAGTGTTGAAACTTATAACAAACTGTATTAAATACACACATAACATAACTAGGTTAATCGCTTTAAACGTTTTTTAAATACCCAATTGTTTGTGTTCCAATCAACCTGGTTTTAAGGCAAACTATTTTGAGAAAGTTCAAGTTCAACAAATTGTTCCACATAATGAAAAGAAAGCAGTTATTTGTCGGCTCACTGTAATCTCTGTTGTTTTTATAGGGAAAGGCATCTGCTGTCTGCCAATGCTCAAGGACCCTTCCTGTCTATTTTAGTTTTTTAGGACAACTGTTTGAGATATTAGAGGGAAGGCTTTGAAACTGAAGCAGCCTTCAGCACCATCTGTAATAATCTATCTTCACGTTACATTTATTGGTTTGAGGTGGGCTGCTAGTTTACAATTGTGTATTTTCTTACACATCTTGTGCTGTAACTAAAGGAAAAAGTCTATTTTTATCATTCATTTGCTTATACCCGGCAACCAAAATACCTGCTTATTTATTTTAAAAACCGATTTAAAAACTACATTTTTTAAAATGTCTTACACTCCAAATGTCTAGAGGTATATAGCTTTAGGTTTAAGCATAAGCCAGACCTTACTTACCTTGGAGAGGGTTGGCTGTATGCCCTCATGGTCAATTACATTTTCCTTCCACAAGGGGACCTCTGTTCTGAGGGCTGAAGGTGACCTGACCTCTGCCCTTGGAGAGAGATACCATTTATTTATTTTTGGATATTAAAATGAGGCAAAAGCTATCATTGGGCCTTTCTTATTTCTCTAATTTCCCCTCCTCGAATCCTCGGTAGTGTCCCGGAAATGGTTTTTTGGCCCGCCATGTTGAAGGACATCTAATTTCTCTAAATGCACATCGAGGACCGAGCGTCGAGGAGGCTCTCTGGAGGAGCTATAATCGAGGATACACTGATGGGTCCTCCATGGATACATTTCCGGCAACAGTGATGTTTAAAAGAGTCGTGACGCACAGCTGGACTTATCTCAGACAATGACAGCTCTGCATGCATATATGTATATATGTACATATATATATGTACATATATATACGTGTATATATATATATATATATGTGTGTGTATATATGTCTGCATCTGTAGCCTGTTATTGTCTCATTATACCGCACTGTGAATGAATTAAAAGTAAATATATATAAGTCATCATGAACACGGTCCTGCCCATCAGAGGGCTGATGTGCCTCCTGTCATCATTAACGGACGTCTCTTTAAAATGACCGCTCAGAGGAGAGGATTTCTCATTTCTCTAACCGCCTGCTGCTTCCCCTCCTCTGAAGCAGGAGGAGGGGAACCGAGGTTCCCCTCCTCCTCGGCTCCTCCGCTCGCATCTCCTGTGGGCGGGACTAAGACACGAGGATAGGAGTCGATGAGTCAATTTTAAAGAGACTCCAAAACATTTGGTCACTGATCAGGAATTGGACACATTCCTGCATTTGGACCCAAAGTAAAGCTAAAGAGGATTTAAAAACCATGGGGAGTCATGTTAGCATGGAGGGATTACCAACTGGGCAAAGCGTGTGCACATACCCAGGGGCCCCACAAGCCCCAGGTTCACTGTGCAGCGCTCAGTTATACTGTATATTGTTGACACTTTGTTAATGACTACACAACATAACTTATGTGCGATATTAACATTGGTAAGAGAACAAGAGGGTCCTTGTGGCAAAATATTTCTTCAAGATCATTATTTCAGCTGATATTGTGCTTACATGTGTGCACCTTAAATCTGTCTAAGTTTAATAACAAAATCACAAGGTCAATTTAAGGCCATGTAATATTCCATCATATAAATACCGTTTAAAATGCAAAGTGGGGAAGAAAATGTCAAGTTGCATTTTTTTTTTAAAGCCAAGCTTAATTCCACTTTGAAAACAAACAAACTAAAGTACTAAATATTACCAGCAACATTTTAATGTTGTAAGCTGAGATGGAGCTAACAACTGTTGTTTGGTAGGTAATAGGTAGGTATAGGTATGTAATAGCCACAAAAGGATAGGCCTGATCATTCCCAGTTTTAAACATGCTGCTGGACCAAAAACTTACACCACATTTAGTAGATTTTATGATATTTCTAATTTACAAACGGACCGAAAAAAATCATATTTATCCTGAGTGTATCCATGTCCTCGTCCTTAGAAACGGCCATATCTATATTGGTGGAAAAGCTGTTAACTGTTAAACCCTGAGCCTGTTTTTCAGGTCTCAGGCTCGAAAATGACCATATCTTCCCTTCTAAAAGGGTTAAATTAATAATGTTTTTTCTCAAAGCAAGGTTACACCTGTGAGTTGGATGTAGAAGTGTCAGAATCAATATAGATGTTTTTATTTTAAAGTAAATTCAGATTGAACACAGTAAAAAAATGTAAATTATTGTGTCCGTCCAAAATGTTTGTTTTACTTATAGTGAAAACCACCCTTGAATGATGGGATGGTAGACTAAAAGCTTTAGGAATCCAAACTACAACATATAATAAGTACCCTGTATCAAAATTGATGCAAAACAAGTGAAATTTGACCTTTTTAGAGAGATTTAGCAAAAAACCCCACTTCTGGGGTCATTTGGGTGGATTTGACCTATCTCTGGCCCCCCTTGTTCGATTTTGCTGATTGACATTTCTTTCTAACCGTCAGAGCCAATGGAATCGAGGGGAACTCCCACATACTCCTTATTTGGTAATGTGTGTGTGTGTGAGACCAACCCAGTTTCACAAAAAAACGTGTAATAACTACGTTGGTCCACAACGTAGGACGTAGTATTTCTACAAAAACGCCTCTGAAATTGTAAGATCCCTGTATACGTTTTTTTTTCATCATTCATTCCATGGCTGGCGTCTATGTCACGTGATCTTCACATTTCTCCCTGCAGAAAAAAAAACATGGCCGAAATTCGTTTTATTCTCGGTGTAAAATGCCTATTTTAAAGTTAGTTTGGCCATTAAAATGCCTTTTGATGTCGTTTGATGCAAGACATATGAGTTGTTATTTCAGATTATGTGTGCAGTGGATGTACATGATCTTTAGTTTGCTAGGTATTACGAAGATTACTTCAGGAAATTGTGTCTATACAACGTTTTCATTGTTACCAAGGTGGTTGCTATAGGGATGCTGCTATCGATATTATTTCTGTTATGTTGTGTAACTGTTTAATGGTGTTATCTTTATTGCTACCCCCTTCCCCGTCAATGTATAGTGTTGGTCCACAGCGCAAACGTATTTTTAACAAAATCCGCATCTAAAATTGTGGCATCTAAATGACCCCTGAGCGAAAAATGCTAACACACTTTGGCACAGAACTCAAAATAAAATGTTTTAACATTATTAAAGATGATTCACAATATACAAGGATATGCAAATGTGCAATTACAATTTAGGCCTATAGCAATAAATAACATATAGGATGTGAAGTACTTTTATGGGTGGCAATAGCTCAATCTGGAAGAGTTTTGGAACCGAAGGATTGCAGGCTCAAGTCCCCATAGGACCAAAACACTGACTGATTGCTGGAGAGGTGCCAGTTTACCTCCCATGGGCACACGTCCTTGAGCAAGTAGCCAAACCCTTTAACTACTCCAGGGTGCAGAACCATTGTCAGCTCTGCCGGGCCGCCCCTCCCTATACGCAGATCACGCAGACGTGGTTGGGGCCTCACCTCGCGGATGGGACCTCATCTTGCGGAGGGAGCCTCTACTGCGGCGCACCTTTATGCGGCGGCAATTAGTGTAGGCGCGGCACAGTTTCGCCGCGGCAAGGCTCCACTGGCACCCCCCGTCCCCGTCCCCGTCCTATCGACGCTCACGACACAGAGGGCCTCATCATATCACTTTGCGTGAGGCCACAAATTGGCCAGGGGCGGCCCTGCAGCTCTGACACCTCTGCATTTCTGGTTTATGTGTGTTATGTAAAGTAGTGTAATACACAGAGTGAACAATTGAATTTCCCCTCAGGAATTTATAAAGTAGTATGTTTTAATTTTATGTCCTAATCTTAATCTTCAAAACACTTTATCATAAAGCTTGTTCGACTAAGTGCATGAAAACTACTGCAGATGTTCATAATCTCAGGATACACATTCATATATATATATATATATATATGTATATACAGTATAATCAGAAAACCCTTTTAAATTCCCTATAGACTTCTCAGTGTAATTCTCAATCCTCGTCAGGGTTGGATAAACACCGATTCGCGCTCAGCCAATCAGAAGCCGAGTAGGGCGGGTCCTCTACCAGGAGCGTGACGTAGGATTGGAATGAGGGAGTGAATGTTCCGGGTCAGAAACTGGACGGGAGAGGAAATTAACTCCGGGACAAGACGGAAAAACGGGAATGCTACGCGCTTTCGCACGGAGATGTAGCGTGTGTTTAACACGTTTAAAAGAGGAGGTTTAAACAAGACTAGTGACACGAGGAACCAGAAGAAGAAAAAACAGGTGCCTACAAACTAACTAAAGAGACACAACGACGGAGAAGTATTCCCATGTTCGTCGCGACGTTAGCTCGGTAACGCGACTTCACTTGCAGTAGGAGTTTCGGTGTTTACTCGCCTGCTGTGAGTTTTGCTACACTTGAGTTTGACGGTGTATTTAGTCCAGGGCTGTCCCGCCATAGCAATCTGTTGCATCCCCCCTTCCTCCCCGCTGTTTGTTTATCGCACGGCTCCGAGATTTC